CAGGCACCTTTATGCAGCCTATGTGTAGACCTATTCTGTGAAAGGACCCAAAGTCAGCCCGACTTTATGATGGGCTGAAGACAGCTTTAAGCTGCAGTGTTGGATCTTTAGCTAAATTTAAGGGTCAGGCTGCAGCGACATGAACAGCTCCCCTCACTGCTTCTCCAACAATAATGAGGCCGTCATGGCACAAAAAGGCTTCCGTAACCTCCACATCACCTTTTTTTTTAAGTGATGATAGGTTAAGGTCATGATAGGTGAACATGGGTTATTGTAAACATAATATTTTATTAGTCTGTATACGATCTAGATTTTATATAGGCCTAACTTGCCGCCGTCACATTCAAGCGTAATGGTGAGCTCTATGCTCACTTGTTAGTAGTTTGTCAGCTCTGACCTGCTGTAGAGCAAAGATGTCTGCCTCCTATATTAGACCCGCTCCTATAAGACTGATAAGATGATAATAAATTACAAATGTATGTATGATATATATGATTTCTGTCAGTAAATCTCTGTAATTATTACACATTGTAACTGTAAGGGAGGAATGTAGTGATGATGGCTATCTTTATGATTTGTAGAACTCTGATATAATATCTGACAGAAATCCATGCAGTGAAATAAAGTTGTTTGTTTGATTAATACACTAACAGCCAGCCTTGGTTGAAAACCCATTGGCTCTTTAAAATTCTATAGTAGGGGCCAAGAGGAGCCAGTGCCCCAGTACTATTGTTTTTTGTCCACTGCACTGAAAACATGATGCTAAATTCATTTCTAATTATGATATTCTCTGATAGAAAATGTCATCTTTTACCTTGACACTTGAATATTTATTTTGAAAAGACAGGGCTTCACCTTAAACTTTATATAATATGCATTTTCCCTATCTCTTTTTTAAAATATGTGTTTTTCTTTTATGTGCCGTATTATAAAAAAGAAACAAACAACAAAAACCCTGGTCCCATCCTGGTCCCCCTGCTAAATTTGGCCAAGAACTGCCACTATCTATAGGTCCACTGGTGGACAATGGACAGGTAAGGGATATGGATAGATTATAATAGAAAACATTTATAGAGAACAACAAATTTGCCAACTTTTTTGCTTTATTTTATGTCTGTGCCACCCCCTGACAAAAGACTTCCCTGGGTGCTATATCAAAACTTTCTGTGCTTGCTCATACATTATCACAATATTTTTACAATAATTTATTAAAGACATGTTCCATGATATCTGTTGGAGCTATTTATTCTTTATTTCTTTATCCATTTGAATGGTGTTAATTTGCTAAATGTATATTTTTTTGTATTATTTACATTTAGGAATTAACACCATTTAAATGTATAGAGAAATAAAGAATAATTAGCTCCAACAAGAACTAAAAACAAAATCAGAGGGACAGGAACAGAAGCTCCAGCACCCCTAACCATCCCCTCAGTGCGCCCCTGGGGGAACCTTTCCACTGGTGTTCCACCGAAAGTCCACCCAGTTTACCAAAATAGAAGGTTTACCTCTAAAAGGTTCAGTTTTCTGGGTCATATCTGTATGTTTATGTCCTCGGCGTCGGCAGACCCTTTTCATAGGGGCATGTGCCCCGTTGTGGATCTGCGGTGCCTGGGTATGCCTGGGAAGTCTGGGGCAGGGATTTTAAAATTAATTTTAGGGATGCAGGATATTGGGATTTTGGCCGATATCCGATATGCCGATATTTTAAAACTCATGTAGCCGATAAACCATATCGATACCTATGTTAAAGCTCATTGAAAATAGCTGTT